GCGACACTCCATACGTAACACTTCACTAGTTTCTTCTTCATCTCCAAGCCCAACTTGCTAGTGAGAAGTATCCTCTTCTTGACAAAAGCTGCCTTGGCCATGGCTATCCTTGCTTTTACTTCCTTAACTCATAAGTGACAAAAAATTTAAATAATCTGAGGACAAAGGAAAAGGGGCTTTAAATTCACAAAGATATATGCTTGGACTAAAATGTTTGTAATTATTACAATTTCAAACAAATTTTTATACATATTTTGTAGGGAAGTCGTGTCATATCTGCAGAATATGACATAGCTAAATACATCACTAGTACTTCAGTTTGGTGCAGTAGTACTCAGCGTACTCAAAACATGCCACATCCCCATTAGCCATAAACACACAATGCATTACATTTGTTTATTTATTTATCAGCAGAAAGATGGGATGAACAGTGCTCCAACAGTAACAAAGATTTCCTTCAAATTTATTTGAATTAAATGCCAAAAACTCATTTTCAAACCAGGAAGCAAAAATATTGCATGTCATGCAAGCACAAGACCTGTTTTTTTATATCACAGGCTGAGTATTTATGTTTATGTGCTTGAAACATTGGGACTTCTAAAAAAATTAATAAAAGGCTTTCAAATAAACCGGAACAGTATCACAGGCCACACTGTATGTTTTCATTGGCCACATGCAGCCTACGGGTCATAGTTTGCTTGCCTCTGCTGTAACTTATGTTTTTGTGTTTCTAGGTGATATACTTGGACCAAGCATACCAAACCTTGCTAATCTAATAAAAATGCCATTTGGATGTGGAGAACAGAACATGCTCAATTTTGTGCCTAATATTGTTGTCATTGAATACTTGAAGGTGAGTCTGAACAAACTGTAAGAATTGAATGTGTAAGTGTCCCTCACTAAACATAATAGATAAATTTTAGCAACTTCACACTATTAATTGAAACTATAGTAAGTAATATTTGTTTTTATGTGTACTTTTATTATAAATACTTATTTAAAATAATAAAAAATGTCCTGCCCTTAATATAGACACAACCACCCTAGGAATTATTTTATTGATGGTTCAAGGAGAGTTCTTTGAAAATGGTTGTGTCTAGGTCAAATCTGGGATTTCTTTAATACACTACAGAAATACATCCCAGGATGGTGGATAAAATTCATTTATAAATTTACACATATTTCAAGTGGCCGGAGAATTGTGCTTTTTGATATGAGGAAATACATGTTTGAGATTCAGGAAAATTCTTGCATTCAGTTACCAGAATCTTGCTTGGAGGATGAAATAGAAAACAATGAGACAAAGATGTTAGATTACTTTTGTTTTTCTCAACTCCTTGTTGACTTCAAAACTGATTTCACACAGGCAAAGAATTTAGATAGGACCTTCAATGTCAATTTATAAAAGGCAGGATCTATTTATTTATAGTTTATTTAATGATTCTTTTTCAGTAGCTCAGACTATATAGTTTTGAATGAGATGATAATAGTGAATAATCAATTGGAAAGGGTGTGGAAGGAAGCAGTGATTGCCTAATTTAAGGTGTGTTGGATAATATAAATTAACAAGGACTTCAGCTTAAAATTTTTGTAAGCATTGCCAGCTAGAAGGTAATAATCCTTGGCAGCCTTAAATCTTGAGATATTCTTCCCTTCAACATGCTTCCAGTGCTGTTCTGTTTAATCTACATTGAAAACTTTCTTCTTCTCTGAATAACTTATTAGCACCTGACAACATCACTAACTGATTACTGACATTAATGTTATCATGGATAATGTGCACCAGGAGTTCTCAACTTACAGCCTGCACAATTTTTTTAACACTGCACCACTCTGTATGATAACAATAGTTTTTATCAGAAAACATGCTTTGTTGATGTCAGTATTTGGCAGTTGCTATCAGAGCAAGCAGTTTTTCGGTTTAATGAAAAGTGTCAAATAATAACTAGGATGCATCTTATTGATGAACATTTGGAGGAATGCAAGTAAATTATAAAAATAGAAATCAAACCTAACAGATAGGCTATGCTAGCAGAAGCACTGTAACTACCATTGTTAAAGAAAATTACTGAGTAAGTTTTGAACCTGTCTGTATTAATAAGCCAAATTTAGTAGAAATTTAATAAGCAAACTTTCAATTAAATGACTTTTAATGAATTGAGCCTGTAAATTGATGGCAAAATCTGAATGTGGTCTCAGGTCTAGAAAAGACTGAGAACCTTGCTATTGAAGTAGGAAACTTTAAAGATACAGAAATAACATATGCTTCTTCAGTTGTTTGTTCTAAGAGGCTTTATTATTAATTAGCATTCATTGCTTTATCTACAGAACACAAATCAGCTGACCCCAGCTGTTGAAGGTAAAGCTTTACGATACATGGAAACAGGTTACCAGCAAGAACTGACGTATCGTCATTCAGATGGTTCCTTCAGTGCCTTTGGAAATAACGATCCCAGTGGCAGTACATGGTTAGTGGAGCTGTATTTAAACATGTTTTACTTGTTGAAGATCTTAGGCTTTAGAACATTTCAGTGCTAAGTGCTAATGTTGATCCTGTATTTATACATGGTGTCATCATCCAGAACAGTGAGGCAAAAAGACTTGGAGAGAAACTTTCATTAACCTGATGAAGGGAAAGTGGATGGTGTTACATGATGTGGAAAATACAATCCTCAAACTTTATTTCTGGAATTAGAAAGTTGTTCACAATTTAGCACATTTATCATAAGTTGGTATGAGCCGGGATAGCTCAGTCAGTATAGTGACTAGCTACAGGCTGGACGACCGGGGTTCGATCCCCGACGGGGGCAGAGGATTTTTCCTCTAGCCTCTGCATCCAGACTGGCTCTGGGGCCCACCCAGCCTCCTCTACAATGGGTACCGGGGGTAAAGCCGGCCGGGGTGTGATGCTGACCACTCACCCCCATCTATTGCTGAGGTCAAGGAAGAGAGGAGCTATACCTCCACTCACCCCAAACGCCTACATGGCGTATAGTGGGACAAACTTTACTTTACTTTTATCATAAGTTGGTGCATCCTGTTGCATATCACTGTGTGTAGAATTGTAGCTTTATTCAGCTGAAATAAGTAACGTTTAGATGTGTCCTAACAGGTATGTGTACAAAGACCAACAATTTTATGTTTTCAGGCTCACTGCCTTTGTTGCCAGAGCCTTCCGACAAGCAGTGCCATACATTATTGTGGAGGAGAAGATAATCCAGGAAGCTTTACATTGGTTGTCAATAAATCAAGCTTCAAATGGAAGTTTTCCAGAGGTGGGGAAAGTAAGCCATCAAGATATGCAAGGAGGAGCTGCTAAAGGAATGGCTCTCACAGCATACACACTGATTGCTTTCCTTGAAAATCAGGTTTGTACATGAATGTAATATTGTAGTTTTATAAAGAGCTAAAGTTAATTACACTCTGATTTGTCATATTTTTCCTGTTGAATGCTGGATTGAAACTCTATATTCTGTTTTCATGCATTCAAAATATGCATCCTCCAATACAGGGAACAAAAGTAATATAAAAAAAAATTATTGTTGTTGTATGAAATCAATTCAGACATACAATATGTCAATTTTGATCCACTGTGTTTCTGTACCAATATTTTAGAAGAACATATTAACTCCATTTTCAGGGTTTCTTAAACATATAACCCAGAAGACAACAATTCATATTTTCATCACTGTGAAAACCTCAAATATCATACAGTATGTCAGCCAATCTTACTTTCTATGTTTAATACAAATGCAAATTAATTTATGAATAAAAAATATGCTTGGCAAAATATTTGGACTCATGAGAATTGAAATGGGGGATACAGATATTACTTAGCAAGTAACTTAATGATTTACATATACTATTATTAATGTGGTCAAATTAAGAAGGCTGGAATGGGCTGTGCATGGGAAAACAAGAAATGCATACAGAATTTTGGTTGGCAAACCTCAAATAAAGCAGCCACTTGGAACACCAAATGAATGGGAGGATAATATTAAACTGAATCTTAATGTAGTAAGTTGTGAGAGTTGGTCATGATTAAGCTGGTTCAGAATGAGGACTATTAGCTATACTAAACCTTCATATTCTGTTATCAGATGATTAAGTATGTAGTTAGTTAGCTACTTAGCTAGCTAAAACATGTGAGTGTGCACCTTGGTTTTAAAGAAAGTGTGTTGCGTGCATTAGAGTGAACAAATTGAAGTGAATATGGTAAGAAATGAAAGCAGAGGTTCAACTGTGGATAAATAAAATTTTACGTATGTGTTTCAGCAATATTCAAATCAGCTTTATCGTAATACCATCAACAAAGCACTGGACTACATTGTTAGAAATCTGGATGGGGTGAATGATGTCTATGCCCTTGCTATATCAAGTTATGCTCTTAATCTTGCACAGCATTCAGCGAAGGACGCAGTCTTCAATCTGTTTGAGAGCAAAGCTCAGTCGTCTGGTAAGTAAATCTTGTTCAGTATGTTGTTTTTAGTTAAATAGACGGACTGCTTTCATAGGAGTTCAGTTGCTCAGCTTTGTGACTCAGAATTAGGTTAGGTTGCAACTAGAGGTGTGGGGATAGCTCGAAACTTCACACAGTTCAGATTAAACCTTAAAAATTGGAACTTCAATTTTTGAGCCTAATGCTTAACAATTTATTATGATAACTGTTTTGCAATGAACATTTCTTCTTTTTCTTATTATTTTATGCCTTTGCTGTATAGTATGACATAACTGACTCACTCTAACTGGCAGAGAAGTCAAACATTTTTATGTTTAATAGTATACAATAATATGAGGAGTAGAGAGGCTATCAAGGTCATAGGTGTGTAGCACATGCACAAGATTTTGTTCTGGAACACACAAGGAAGAGTCAGGATAGATAACTGATTAGTAGAGCATCATGTTGCTTGTGTGGAGTTCCTTGTGAAACTAGAATCATTTATTCAAATGCAGTGAAATTTCTTAAAAGTGAATAATGCGCATGGGACTATTTCTCAAAATGCAATAAAGATGTGAGTTTTGAGATGGCATGTGACTGGAAGTGTATGAGACATAAAGCACTTCAATCAGCAGCCTTCAGTTTATATGCCTGAGACCACTGACCATACTGGAAACAGTCAATTGGAGTCCTTGAATGTATTTTCAGCAACAAGCTTCAGTACTAGGCATGTTTAACGAAACTGAAGCATTCTGCACATTGCGTGATTTCATCCATACAAGATTATGAGTTATCCAGGAATTGAGTGAAGCAGATAAGTGAACAAGACAGGCATTATGTAGAGACTATTTTGGAACTACAGAATCATCAACCAGACATAATCTTTTAATAAGTGATGAAGTACATTTTTATTTCTCAGGCTTTGTAATCAGAAAAAACTGCTGATTCTCATCCACAGAAAACCCACATGAAATCCATCAGTATCTTTCCAATTCCCCAAAAGTTACAGTATGATATGCTGTTTTAGTTGCAGGTATAATTGCACCATACATTTTTAAAATGAACATGGTTTGACTATAACTGTGATTAAAATTTGGTATAGACATATGCAGGAAACAGTGCTTCAACTTAAAGACAAGATATTTAACTGTGCTATGTGGTTCAAGCAAGATGTACCTCATCACATACTGAATAAATGAGTGTGGAGAAGATGTGCAAAATGTTTCTGCTTTGTTCAATCTCATCATTTAGTGATTTAAACTGACCACCAAATTTCTTTATTTGTCAGCCCCTTGCTGTTTTTTTGTGGAATTATCTGATGAGTTAAGATGTGGCCCACCACTTTGGATGATCTTAATGCCAGTATCAGGGAAGTAATTCAAGTATACTTCATGACATGTTACAGTGTGTGATGGATGATTTTACTGACTGCCTCCAAAAGTGCATCACTGCGGAAGGGGGCCATTTATTGCATTGATTTCAAAAAGCAAACAGTTTGTGTATCAGACTTAATTTTCAAGATTTTTGTAAAATGTTATCATGTCAGCTTATATTATTTACTCATGCAGAATGTATTAACAAATGAATTTGCCAGTCTTCTCTGGTGGACCCTGTATCAAATTTGGCTACTTTAATTTTTAGGTTATGTTTTTGTTTTCTGATGATCCTAGTATCTAAACTTCTCATTCAGGTGATCTAAAATGGTGGCAGAAATCTCTTGGTAAGGATGATAAAAAAAATCCTTGGTATGCACTACCCAACTCTGTGGATGTGGAAATGACAGCATATGGCTTACTCACATACCTGGAACATGGTCTGGTACAGGATGCTCTACCCATTATGAAGTGGTTGATAACACAGCGAAATGAGCAAGGGGGTTTTGCTTCAACACAGGTAAACACATGTCACTTGATTGCTGACATAGGAGAAGTCATTAAAATCTTAAAGATTCCTTCTGACTAACTTTCTTTTAATAGAACCTGAAACTTTAACACTGCTGGTAACAAAGCCTGCTACTGCACACAATACTAATTTAGTCTAATCCATTTTACGTCTTTATTGTCATATACTTAAGATCAGTTTTAATATTATCCTTCAATCTCCTCTGTATTACAAGGTATGGCTTTGAAACAACCTTCCTGAACAACATTCTACATTGTTGATGTTGGTTTTCTGGATTGAGAGGACTAAAGCTGGAGACAGTATATACCTCTGAAACAATGGTGTCTACTTATGAATTTACAGTGTTACAGCACAAAAAACAAACATCAACATCGTCAGCACCATAAGAATTTAAAATATCAACATTCTATATTGTTTGTGTTAACCAAACTACATGTCATAGTATAACACCATACTGTTGTTCCAGAACATACCAATACTGGTCAGACTTTTGATCTGATTAGTGCAATCATTGTTTGGTCTCAAACACCTGTATAAATCATTAACAATACACACTGTTTGTTTCAGGGTACAAAATAAGCCAATGTATATGTCTATGAAATCTTCCATAATTGCTCATTATTTCAAGTTTACACATTCAATAATTAGAATTAGATATACACTGTGTGAACTGTTTTAACTCCATGGAGGTGACATTGTGTAGTAGTGGGTTTGTTTGGAAATATTTGGAGAAATTATCTGACAGCAGATTTAGTCCTCATGTTCATACGGAGTGTTCAGAAAGTTGCACAACCCACTCTTGACACTTCTTTATTTGTCAACAAATAATTTACATTGAAATCAGAAAATAGTGGCTTACATTAAGTGTTGGAAATGTCCACTGCATTCAGCAATACATGCTTTTACTATATTCATCATGTTTGATGCAACCAGATGAAGAGTACTTGTGTCATGGAAACAATTCACCAGATGAGATATTGCCAATATCTTTGGAAGGGAAGAATCAGGAACTATATCCATAAACTCATTCTGCGAGTTAAGTAAGAACAAGATAACAGGTTATATTCAACAAGGTCACTTGTTTCACTTGTGAAAAAGACATCCTTGCACTTCATCTGTTCATTTAATTTCCATTGTGGTGTTTTGCTGGAAGAACACAGTAGGTTTTAGTTCTTGTAACTGTAGACAGACAAAGTTTTCCAGCATATCCAGGTAATTGCTGGATGTCACAATCGCTTCAGCAATGGAAAGGGGGCCGATCAAGTGATTGTGCAACAGGCCACATCACACATTAACTTTGGGGCTGTCTAATATGCTCCGCTGTGGCATGAGGGTGTTCTAATCCCCAGATATGTATGTTCTATTTGTTTGATTTCCATCAAATGTACAATGTAGCCTTGTTAGAGAACATGACTTTGCTCAAAGATTTGCTGTCTTCATCCAATTTTTCAAGCATGGTCACTGCATATTCTTATGGGATACCCTATCATCTGGCAACTTGTAAGTATACAGACACAAACATTTTTATAATGCCTGATGCACTCTTGCATGTGGCATTTGCAACTAATGTGCTGCAGCTCATGTTGACTTATGTGGACTGTAGACAAAGATCCTGCATATCCTTTCAACATTTTGATCAGACACACATGGATGCCCTGGACCTTTCTATGAAAAACACTTCTGGTCTCCTAAACTGTTTGTACGAGGCATGTATCAATAGTCTTGATGGTGGCATCTTGTGATATGTTGTTCTGAAATGTCTTTGGATGTGTATATCCAATTCTGATAAACCACTCTACACACTGTGCCTTCTCCTCTGGATTTATGGCAACTCACTACTGACTTGATTCACAAAGATAGATGCAGTGCAGAGGAAAACAATGGATGCTACCATCTGCTGGAAACTCAGTGAAACATTGAGTTTCTTTCACAGATGACACTCAAACAGTATGTCTGTGTCTTTTCATTGTTTTATTCAGCAAAACCAATGTGAAAACCTTAAGGCTTGTTAGTTGAGAGTTGGTCTGCTTTCTAAACTTGTGTATACCACTTAATATGTCTCTTTTGATGAATCCCCCAACAATTTCACCACATTCCTCTGGTATTTTGATAATAGCAATAACAACAATGAAAATATATTGTTATATAGTAACTAAGTTGCACAATTATTTCAACAATTGAAAACACTACAATCATATATCAGATGTCAGCTAAAGGAAAATACATGTTAGAAATTTTACCTGATATTTATTTAGTAGTTTAAATAGAACTGTGCTTCCCTATCCATTGCAATATTATCATTGACCTGAAGACAGAATGGAATGTCAAAGTAGCAATGTCAGTGAATATGCAGACATAGATTTGTCAGTTTTCAGACCCACACTTCTTCTTTTTCTTCTTCTTTTCCTGTACTCCTAAATCCTTCTTCTTAAATCCTTCTTCTTGTGTTTGTCTTCTGCTCTTTCTATATTTTGTTTTACCTCAATTTTTGTATCTCAAATTGGTGTCTTGGCTTTACTTCTTGTCTAATTTTGTCTTTTATATTCTGTAATTATCTGTTTGCATAATTCAGTCCATATTTTGCTTCATCTGCCTCTTTCAGTCATACTTTTCAGCACCTTCACGCTATAATATGACCATTTTGGTTTAAAATATTAGTATGTGCACAAAATAGTTTTTTCTGAAGTATTTTTGTTTGCTGGTAAAGTGTTCGACTACATATGTACCAGAGCACTCATTTTCTTGTATTCTCATAGCATTTACTATAACTGTTAAGCATATTATTTTGGTACAGATTGCTGCTTTGTGCTGAAATTTAATTTGGGTGTAATAACTGGCTAATGTGTGCCTCAAAATGCCACTTCAGGCTACTATCTGTTAGCCAAATCTAAAATAATAATGAATGATGTTGGTCCCTCTTTTCTTTCTTGCCATCACATTCAATTGTAGGTGTAGCAGGAAGTTTGTAGGCAGAACCATTAGTTTCTGAATACAAAGCTGAAAGATAGAAATTACAATGCTATGTATAAAGCTATTTTTTGTGAATTATACATTGCTGTACAGGACACTGTGATTGGACTACAAGCACTGGCAAAGCTTGCTGAGCGAATTTCATCCAGTGCAGTGGATATTAATGTGTCCTTCTCATACTCTGGTGGTAGCCCTGCTAACATGAAAGTGACCAGAGCAAACTCCATGATTCTGCAGAAACAAGAGGTATGTATATAGTTACATGGGATATTGACACACACAATACATAACATGGAACTTGATCTGTCATATTCGCATGAAGGATATTCACCCTGAATGACATGGACACCATTATTGAAACACAGAAGTTAAAAACAAGTTTTCTTTATAACATAACGTACTATATTTCCATCTACTACATTTCTGTATTACATACATTATATACATAAATTATGTTATATACAGTATTGTAATATTTTTAGGGTCCTTCTTCAGAAATCCAATAGGAAACATCCCATTCAGAATTCAAACATTCTTTTTTCTACACTAACTGTCCACATTTTATGAAACTCTGTATGAAGAGAATGCCATTGAAGGACAACCTATTCTTGTACTTTCTTGTGAAGTTCTGAGGTATGGGCAACATAGGCATCATTCAGAGTTTGTTCCTAAAGTTCTTTTAAACTGTGTTTGATTGCTGTGGATATTCAGAGAATGATCAGATTTTAGAAGCTTCTGACTACATTATTGTTTTGAAAGATATCAGAACACTAAATAATTGCATATATAACTACAAGCAGAAACAAATCATAATATTTCATTAACTTATTTATTTTGTATATGTAATATTGATTTAATAATATAATACTTTTTACTTATATATTCCATATTAAAATTTACATATTGTGTCATAAAAAATAGGACCTAGATGCAATGGGGCCACCCCAATTATTAGGTGAAGCACAAAATAAAATGGAAGCTCAGTTAACAGAAACAGAATATATACAGTATGTATTTCCTGAATTTACAGTGAATACTACAAGAACAAAAGAAATCATATTAATGTATGTATGTATTAATGTATGTAATAAACAACTATATACAATTATATGTGGTAACGGTCAGGGAACACAAAATAAGCTTTTTACCAACCCCCCAACCTGATGTGGTATCCACTGCCCCCCCCCCCCCCCCACAAAAAAAAAAAAATTTCTAAGTATTCTTGTCTATAATAAATTAACTGGTGGATGTTGCATCAGGTGATAACTGTCTCAAACATTTGCTGGGTGCCAGATGAAATTTATAACACAGAACCAAAGAGAATATCTAGATGTTTTCCCAACAGAAGCCTGCACACAAGTGCTTCCTGAGTTTTCAAGGTAGAAAATAACAGGCAGGCGGTGGGGGCAAGAGAGAGAAA